TAAACATTCATATTATTCCTTCACTTTATAAGTCTAACTATAGAGTGAAGTATTTTTATATATTTACAGGCTGAAATATTTGTGAACTTCTGCTGTAGAATAAAAAAAGCAGAGTTGAATAAATTAGGATTTCTGAAACAAACAGGAGTGAGGAAAGAATCATTAGATCACAGACGGTTCAACAATAAAATACAAGAAATAAAAGATGAGAACACTGAGAAAAAGGAGACATTATAGTATTAATATAGAACTAAAAAACAGCAGAGAAAATAAACAGATTTATTAAGAACTTTTGATCGAGAAAAAATACGACAGAAACGTAAACAGAAAAAATCCGTAACTCTTCGGTTACTGGAGTACTTAAGAGAACTTAATAGTTTTTCTTTTTTAAACCTTTTAGTCGTTGTCCACAGTCCTCAGTGATTTACAGGAAGTTTTATCACAATATTTCCAAAAGTCCTTCAGTTGGAGGACATAAAAAAAAAAAAAAACAGCAGAGAAATCAAATCAAAAACAAAATATGACAAAAATAAAAACCAATTCTTTGTGAAATTGATTAAAAATATAGTTAACCTTCATGGTCTTTTTCCTAAATCTACAGAAGAGGATTAGGGCCACTAAAAAAAAAAAAAAGTTAACTGATTTTTAAATTTTATTTCAGTTTAACATGAGAAAAAAGTCAGAATTCTGACTTTTTTTATTGTCAGAATTCAGTCAGAATTCGGAGAAAAAAGTCAGAATTCTGACTTTTTTTTTCAGTGGCCCTAATCCTCTTCCATATAAATCTCTTAGTTAATTTGTGCCTAAAATTTTCAAGTGTAAAGTTCAAAATGTTTTACTTTAAACAAGATGGAAGACAAAATTTATTTTGTTGCTTTAATGTTTTTATTTTATGAGGAAAGAGGAAACATAACTTTGAATAAACCGAATCCTCAATCAGTCATGAATAAATTATATTTGTTTTTATTTGAATGAAAAACACAGACTTTATTTATTTAGTTAAGCATTTAAGATTTTTTTTATTTATAATGAGCTAAAAACAAATTTAAAGTTGCAAAAAAAACAAAACAAAAAAACAATGCAGTTCATAGAAATCCCTTGATTCTTGTTTTAGGCTCACGGTTTGTATCTAATCGCTTTAAACATCCTGTTCTTTTTGTTAGACGTCTAATAGAGAAAAACTCAATTTGAATCACTTTAAAATTAAAGGTCAAACTCTTCAAGCTGCATTTAATCATAAATGTTCCAATAATATAAATGTATTTACCAGGGAAAGGTCACCAGATCTTTTCCTGTTTAATTTGTGAAACTTGAGGCTGATCTCTGCAGGTTGGGGACTAGAAATCTGACATCTGAGACGACGGAATTGCTGCTGAAGCTCCTCAGAAATGTTATGAGCATCCAGAACAGAAGCGAGAAGTTCGGCCTCCATTTATTGCCCGCTGTGTGTCTCAGTCGTCATGGTTGCTAGGTGACAGAGCGTACGGCGGTGAAAGCCGGAGAAGCCTGGACCCGTTTGAATCCGCAGCCAAACTCTTCCATCGTTTTTATTTTCACAGACCTCCAAGGATCCTCATTTTATTCTTCATTTTCATCTTCCTCTTATTTAATGGCAGCAGCAATAAAAAAAAAACAATCCTGAGGTAAGTTACTGCCACCAACTGGTAGGGAGTGCAACAGCTTCATTGTTTACTTGGAAATGTATGATCCACACTCTCAAATTTGTGACTGTAAAAGAGATTAGGTGAAGTTGTAACTTGTATTTTCTGCAAATACAAAGACCCCAATAAAAATAATCTCTAAGCCAATAGAAACAGAATGAAAATAACTCACTATATATATAGTCCAAATGGGAAGCAGAGTTAAAAGTGAAACTGGCTTTCAATGTGCGAAACACAACAGTCCTGCACAAGCTCTACACCAGGGATCACCAACGTGGGGCGCGTGGGCACCAAGGGGCCCTCAAGGACAACATGGGGGGCCCTCAGCATCTTCTGAAAACAGAACGATTCACCAGTGGACTAAATCTGAAATGTTATTTTTTACTGAAGCTCTTATTTTGAAGCATTTTATCCTATGAATAAATTAGAACATTTGAGGATTTATATGGATTTCATAATGAGAATATCTAAAAGCAAATTAAAAATTAAAAGAAACAATAGAAATGTGTTTATTATCTATGAAGTTCAGGTGAACGCCGACTCCTCTAGTTCATAGGTCAGTATCGGTCTCCGCCACGTGACGTCAATTGTTTACCTCGGGCGCGGTACACTAAGCCTTTTCCACCTAAAATGGCGTCTTAGCAACAAATGTCACGTGACTGGCGGAGACCGATTTTCCTAAATCCGCCCCTGTTTTCAGGCTTATGTTAACTGTAATGACTTATCTTGGACAGGCTGCTATGTAAACGGGCCTTTAGTCCTTCGTTTAGCTATGCTGCGGTTGTTTACACTACGCCTTTTCCAACTAAAATGGCGTCTTAGCAACAAAAGTCACGTGACTGGCGGAGACCGATAGGTAGCCCGTCCTATGACTCGGTGCCCATAAAGTAGCCCTCAGCCTTAAAAAAGTTGGTGACCCCTGGTCTAAAGGCTGGAAGGAATTTAATACGCTACTTTAGAAAACCCCAATTACAATATAATTTAGTCCATAATATGTAAAATGTTGGAGGCAATGTGGACAGATAAATGTCCGTCATGTAGAAAAATACAAACCTACTGGTATCAAGTTGTTCAGGCTATAGAAAAAAGCCTGAAAATTAAAGGATATAAGATCCCCAGGGACCCGTGAGTGAAGAGATGCATCGTTCTCACAGTGAACCCCACACCTGAGGCAGTGGATATCGATAGTAGAGGAGATCTTCACCATGGAGAAAATTAACCTAAAGATCAAGTCTAAATACTTGAATCAACTTTGGAGAAAGTGGCTTCATTACACAAACAGGAAAGGACCTTTTTTTCTTCTTGCCCTTTTCTTTTTTGAGTGTTGTTTGCAAATTTAAATAATACACGGATAAAAAAAAAAAAAAAGAAATCCTGAGCCTGAAACTTTTCGATAAGCCAGACTAAACGTGAGATTAAATGTCTAATCTAGTCTGGCCTCAATGAATGAGACATCGGAAGATTGTTGATGAGATCAACCCGTTGTTTTTCAAACCATGTCTGTTCCTATTGGCCAACGCTCTGACCAATGAGAGCCACTGACTGTGACGTAGGAAGCGCCACAGGAAGCTGGTGGGGGAGTGGCAACAAACAGCCTGTTGGTAAAACGGCGAATACGTCCTTCTTTAAAATGAACGAGCGTAGAGCCTCTTCCTGCTCACGTTTCAATGGAAACCCTCAAGTCTGATCCTTTCAGAACTGATTCCAAAGCTGAGTCAAACCAGAGCTGTTCCATAGTCGTCGCCATCTTCCTTGTTGTGCTTTGTCGTCACGCCCTCAAAACCTCGCCCACCTTGCATCCAGAATTTCAAAACATATCTCTACGTTGTGATTGGCCCGCCAGTTCTAGAGCCTAGGGCATTGATCGAGGCTCAATCACTAGCAGGCAACAATGATTTTGGCCGCTGGTGGGAGGGGCTAGTTTACTAGGCTATATATATATATATATATATATATATATATAGATATAGATATACACACACACGTGTATGTGTGTATTTTCAAGCCATGCCAGGGGGGGTTGGGGTCATGGGATCAGAGGATGCATGAATGAAGACTAAATTTGACTTTACCAAAAACAGCCAGAAGGTGGCAGAAGTGCGTCTATATCTAGTGCGACTGGGAGGTCGTGTTCCGTGAGGAAAGAATTAACCCTCATTTTTAACTCGCATAAACGGTCAATTATTGACGCTGGTTGCCGTGTGCGACCGGACGAACAGCAGCTTGATGATGACCAAGGTCTTACTCATGTTAGCATAGCAACTTTTAACCACTGGATGCATAAATAAAGCATTCCTGGAGCGCAGCGTGCAGAAGGAAGCGCCTGGTTGACCCAACTTCCTGCTCCAGCTGCTAAATGGCTCTCCATCTGACCCCGTCTCCTCCAGCCGTGCCCAGCAGTATTTATTTTTCAGACCTCCATCTATGGTGGTCACATCTTCCCTGGAGTTCATGACCTGCATGGTTCCCACTCCATCCGTTCTCTCTATTGTCCTTTTATTTCCATTTATTTATTTTTGACTTTTTACTCGTCTCTCCGTTGAATGGAGCCATAAACGCTGCGAGGTGACTTTCCCTTCAGCACTGAACCACAAGCTAACAGGCAACTAGAGCAACAAACACGTGGAGGAGGAACACGCTTTCCTAAGACCCGCCCCCTTCTTCTTCTGATTGGCTAATACTGTTAGTTTCAGAGCGCTCTTCCATTGGCTGACAAACGCAAGACGGATTTTGATTGTCTTTTTTAAATTTATTCACCGTAAATTTATTTGGGTGATTTTTTTTTACCCACGGCCAATCGCTAAGAGACGGATTACCGGATTACTTTAATTCCTGAAAATACAAAATAAAAAGTACAAAAAAAAAAAAAAAAAAAACTATTTTCACAAATTAAACATTTGATGTCACATTATATGTTTACAAGAAACATTTACAAATCTAGGAACTTACGCATATTTTTGACAGTTATATCACCCCATACTGCAGTACCTCCATGGACTCCCGATTTAATCTAGACGGTTACCGATTGCTAGGATAGTTGATTGTGTTTAATGTACGGGATAGCACCCCCCCAGTTCAAATCGTCAACTTTTATTTTCCACCAACTCTGGTTTAAATATAAATAATAATGCATTGCGAGGTTAAAAACACATTTTTTGCCACATATTTTTTATTTTTAAACGAACCAGAATTCATTTTAGAAGATATAGAAAACATCTCTGTTGCATCCACTCAGGAAAAAAAATGCAAAAAACAAAAAGACAGCTATCCACAAGTTTGTCTTTTATTATAAAAAAAGAGAAGAAGAAGAAAGCACTGCAGCTCCATGGAGGGATTCGGTGCTCCTGTTGTGTCGCTGCTGTGGTCCTGACCAAGATGGCTTTTATCAAACAAATACTAAACGGAACATTTGAGGCTCGCTCCAAAAAGAACAAAAAACTAATTTAAAGTTGTTGTTTGTTTTTTTTTACACCATTTGTTTAAGCAATAAGTATATCACCACATTTACTGACAGCAATAAAAACACAAAGAAGATAAATGAAAGGAAAAGGTACCCTTGGTTTTTTTGGTTTTTTTTGAATCAATCTGCTCCGTTTGGACAAAGATGCAGATCAAATTTCCCACGTTTAGATGTTTGCGTTGGTTTCTTTCTACTGAAAAAAGGCAGAAAGTTTCGGGTGCCTAAGTCAGGTAAAAGTGTACTTCAAAAAAAAAAAAGAAAGTAAATGTACAAGAGAGCCGGTTTATGGCAGAGTTCATCAGTTCCATCGTCTGAAATCCTGCAAAAATCACGACGACTTGACCTCTTTAAAAATATATATAACTCACCGAAACGCCACGCTGCTGCTGCGCCTACACGGATGACCACGTCCGAAAGAAGCCTTGGCGTTAATGTTGGATCTGTGGGGGGGGGGCTTGGCCTGCGTAGGTGGACTGAATTAAACGGAAAAACCCGACAGGTTCTGCTTTATTCACAGGCTTACAGAGACCACCTCAGATGGTCGGACACGGTTACATGAAAGCAGGACGATCTGGATTCTCTCTACGCCAACTTCCTGCCGCGGAAGGAAAAGGGAACCGGGACATGTGACCAAACCGTCCCGCCTTAAATGAGTCTGTCGAAAAATTAAGAACTTCAAATAAAAGCGAACAGACGGAACCAGAGAGACGAACCAGACGTCAGATGTCCTGGTAGCCGCCCGCCTGCCTCAGTCCCTGTTAACTTTGAAGATGTTCTGTCGTCCAGCGATCCGCTGGCTCCTCCCGTCCCGCCGCGCGCTCCGGATCCGGGCGCCGTCACAGGATGAGCTTGCAGTGGCACAGTTCTTTGTACATTTGCCTCCTTAGCCGCGGCATGTCCTGCTGCCCAAAGTTAAACGGCTGTCCTAGCGCCAGACACTTGCAGTACTGTGGGAGGAGACAGGAGACGTTAGCGAGGTCAGCAGAGGACATTTCAACAGGCGGCGTCTGTTTCGCCACGACAGGTCTGATCTATAAAACCCTAAACCTCTTCTGTAGTTTGTGGAGTTAAAGTGGGGCCATAAATTTAATTATAATCTGTTACTTTAAACAGCATTTAATACTGAAATAAAATGAAGTTTTTATGCATCCATGTTATACGTTTAATTATAAAAAAAATAGAACATTTTTCCATTTTAAAATCTAAAGTATTTTTTGAAGTAGAGAACAACAATCGTTCAGTTTGGTTTATAGATAATTTCCTGATTCCCATATTTTCTCAAACCCCTGAACTGATGGTTTGTTATTTTCTTTCTTTTTTCTGTCTTAATGTTGGCAGTGGGCTTTAGGCTGCCCTGCAAGGCTTTAAACCTGGGTTTAACCAGAGACTAAGCCATTCTCAAGCACATATCAAGGAGCTCATTTTGAGCCTGGATCCAGATTTATTGTTGATTCTGTTCATGGTGGAGAATCCTGCTTCACAGCAGCAGGTTGAGCCAAACATCCTCTAAATGTGCAGGGTCATCTTTGAGCACGCCATTTCACTTTTCTTTCACCAGTTCACCGCAGTTCTTCCAGCAGTCCACACTTTCTCTGCTCTCTTTTTCTCATGGTCTTCTCCTTCTTTCCCATCGCCCGGCTTGCCACAGGTTTGCCTGCTGTGTCTAAAAGTAGCAGCAGCAGCAACCCAGACTGACAGCTCATTGGCTCATTTGGATCACGTGCAGCCTGGAGCCGGACGCTCCCCAGGGCTTTACCGTATTAACAGGAGAAGAGGGGCAAGGGAAGTTAGACATAAATGTTTTAAATCAGTTTAGGTCTGGATTAAACAGCTGGTGAGTCTGGATCCGGACAGCGATCCGCTAAACCATGACCTCTGTATTCCAGCATCCAGCTGCCATGCACGTGGGCATTGTCAGTTTCACTATAGCTCTGGTGAATTTCAATGGTGAAGTCCTCTGGAAATCTTCAATAATTGTTGTTGATTGCAGATGTGTCTAGTAGTTCCCATTGATTTAGCTTGGAAAGCGGGGAGAATGGCGCTAGGCTAACCGCACCGTGACGTCACTGCTGGAAGATGGCAGGAGGGAGGGGCTACTAGATTTGGGCAAAGATGGCCGCTCCCAGACTCAGTGATCGCAACGAAAAATCATTTTTATTTTTTTCCTGATTAATGCGTATTAGTTTTAGGTATAAATAACGATGCACTGATTATTTCTGGCTTCTCCTTCCAGCTGCAGTTAAAGGAGCAGCTGCTCTTCATCTGCTGGAACTCACCTGCAGCACAAAAGCTCCACAGTCGCTGTCGTTGTTCTGACGGCCCACATTCTGGAAGAGAGAAAACAGCATTTTTCCATCATCCTGATCTCCCCCCGGCCGCTTTCTGCACCCTGCTTCGCCATCACCACGGTTACCGTTCAGCTAACACTATTTACACATGTTCTGCCTCAATACAGTCAGAACGGTTCATGCAGAACCAAAGGTTGCTTTAAACGGCGTCCCTTTGGTTCAGAAACGCCGTAAAATCTGCAGGAACCAGGAGGGAAACGCAAAGAATTTCATAAACTCAGAAATCTGTTTAAATCCAAATTAAATCAGATAATAAAAATACTTATTTTACAACAGCCGACCTAAAACCATGAAGTTATTCCTGATGTTTCATTCCATTATGCTAAATTAACTTGGAATAAATAATCAAAATTAAAATCAGAATCCTTTATTAAACAGGAATAAAAGCTCTAAAGACAAATAACCAAAGGGATGTTTCAATGTTTAGCTGCTGCTAATTAGCTTCATAGCTAAAGGTTCAATCCTGACCTCATCTGATCTAATGTCTTCCTATGGGGGATTGCTTATAGTGTGCAATCCACCATCCTCATTCAGCAGGACACAGATCGTACAGAGATAAATCTGGGGCATAAAAGTTTGTTCAAAAATGTATTTAAACTGAAAAAAAAAATTTAAAAATTATTTGGAAGTTCAAAAAAACTGAAATTTAAACTGCTTTTCAGATTTAGGTTCTGGTTTTAGGCCGTTTCTCCATTGGCCTAAGGGCCGATTGAGCGGCCAGGGCTAACGTTTGCGCGTCTGCGGCGGCCAGGGCTAACGTTAGCGCGGGCTGCAGCGGCCAGGGCTAACGTCAGCCCGTCTGCGGCGGCCAGGGCTAACGTCTGCGCGTCTGCGGCGGCCAGGGCTAACGTCAGCCCGTCTGCGGCGGCCAGGGCTAACGTCAGCCCGTCTGCGGCGGCCAGGGCTAACGTCAGCCCGTCTGCGGCGGCCAGGGCTAACGTCAGCCCGTCTGCGGCGGCCAGGGCTAACGTCAGCCCGTCTGCGGCGGCCAGGGCTAACGTCAGCCCGTCTGCGGCGGCCAGGGCTAACGTCAGCCCATCTGCGGCGGCCAGGGCTAAAGTTAGGGCTAACCCTCTCTCTGCATAGCCGTGTGTAAAGTACCGCTGGCTCTGATGGAGGTTTGATTGTTTTATTTGGCAAAATGTTCATTTGGTTTGTGTTTATCTGAATGTGTTCATTATTATTCCAGCAATAAATGATAAAAGTCATAATTTATTCATATGCAGAGACTATTAATTCCAGACGAGCTTTGAATGTGGGTCCAGGCTTTCCTGGGTTCTTATCAAGAACAGACTTGGCGAGGAAACGAGTCTGTACTCGGGTTCTAGGGAATAAAGAAATGGCCTTAATTTCAAACTGCTGGGCCTCAACTTGGGGGAAGAGTTTAGATGACAGCGTGTGATGATTGACAGCTGATGTACCCCAGCAAAATATTCCAAGATGTTGCATTCAGGGACAGTGGGATTTAAAACACTATTGATATACTGAAAGGAGTTTAAATCATTTTTGTTTCATGCACAGTAAAAATAAAATAAAGATGGTTTTGAACAAACTTTCCAGCCTCCAAAAGCTACGATTCTTGGCTCCAGAACTTTTGATGACTGATTAATAATCTGAACCGATATCATCTAATATTCCACTTTAGATCCGTCAGAAGGACTACGTTTATACATTTGAGATGATAAATTAGTTTTTAGGCGTTTGTAAAGTCTACTGATATGAGATCAGAGGGTGAGGACGCCCCCTGCTGATAGAAGCCGGCACAAAAAAAAACAATCACCATTTTAAAAAATCCTTTCCATCCCGTCAAAAAGTCCCGTTGGTCCTTTTTTACCGCCTCGGCTTGAAGATACTTGGAAATATGCTGGAATGAGAAAAAAACAAATGATGAAATTAAAAGTTTATCAATCATCAAATTTTAAACTATGTTTGGATTAACATTCGCTTTGAGGGGAGAACTTTTTATAGCAAATATCTCTGCAAAGAGGAAGTAATCGGGGGAGAAAAAAGAAATTAAAGCTTCGTTTAAATAAACGATGCCTTTAGTAAATTATTATTTCTAAATAAACAAGCATTAATACAGAAAAATAATCCCCTTAATTGAGCCGTAGATCCTGAATATGATTTTTGGTTCAAATTCCCTTAAATAAAATCTAATTTATGATACTAATCACAGACAGTATGGGGAGAAATTTGTTCCCAAATAGGATTATTTTACAATCTTGATAAATCTCTCGATTATTTCTTCGATGAATTGATTAATAATCGGACTGCCAAAGGTTCCTCAACAATTTTTTATGAAATTAAACTAGGCTAAACTACGAAAAAAAAACATTATTTTTATCTTAAATGCAAAATGTTTATATACATTTTTTAAAATTGTGGTTTAATAATAATAAGTTAGTTGCTCTGTCAGCTAAAGACACGTTTTACAGTCTCTATACTCCAGTTAATGATTACTAAATTAGTTGACGATTGTTTCAATAATCAATTTGATTGTTTCAGCCCTAAACTGAAAGCAAATATTTTTATTTTTTTAAAGAGAATTTGGAAGAGGTTTTGAAATGCAGAATAAAAAATAAACTATAAACTGTCTGCAGAAGTTAAACCAATATTTTCATAAATTTTTTTACATATTCTAAGATTTTATTTTACAGAGTTTAGCTTCTCAAATGTGTTTTTAGATTTTTTTTTCCAGATTTAATCTTTTTTTTTAAATTGTAATAATTTTTTTCAGGTGTCCTGTGAGCGGACCAATGGAAATGCTGTTGCTAACGTCCACACAGGGCAGACTAATTCCTATTGGTCCGTGCACAGGCCACCCAGAGGTGTAAAAGACAATATCAGTAACGCGGGATTTGGAAGGAAATCATTTAGTGAATCAGAAATACTTTAACCCCTTTCCAGGCAGATGTTGCAGATTTGCAACAGCTAAATCCCACTTAGCTAATTACTTTACATCCATATTTTAAGAGCTTTTGTTACTCAGAAGTACAACAGAAGGACTTAGTTGTGCATTTGCAACAAAGTTTCTCTCCAGCTCAGCAGATGACACTGCTGACTCACTTTCAACATGGCTGAGTCACTGAAACAGATTTTCTAAGCACCAAATTCATGTCAGTATCACTACCAATTTTCATTATTTTGAAATCAAAACTACATAAGATGAACCATGAATGCGTATGGATATGACACATGCCAATTAGTAAATTTTATCTCGTCTTGGTTTGTCACCAGTGGCATCTCGATTTCAATGTTGTGGATCCGCAACGTGTGCCCAAACAGATACCAATGGATGCTACATGCTTTATCTACTAGTTAGCCTCTATTTTGAGCAACAGTTTAACAGAAACTGCCTTCTTAAGAGGTTTTGAGATGTCGGTGCAGAAAAAGTTTGAGAAAAAGTTGTCTCTAATTTTGTTAAGAGAATTTTTAGTTTTTTGTTTTGTTTTTGACATTCAAATAAAGTTAACGTTCATATCAGATTAAGTCTTCAGTATTAATTCACCACTCCGGGCCACTGTTGCATATCTGCAACATTCCCAGAATTCATTGCATGTGAAGGTCTCTCTCAAAGATTGTATATTACTACACCATACGATCATTTTCTCCAAATATCAGATTTTTCCTGCAACTACAACTTAATTTGAGCCTGAGAGGGTTAATAATTCCAGAGGGAAATTACTTTTTCCTAGAAATTAGAAAAATAGTGTTTAACATTTTTCCGTTATTAATTAGCCAATTAACCTTTTTCAGATTAAAAGGTTTTTTTTCTCCCCCTTCAATAATATTGGACCACATTTCTCCCCGTATAAAAGCAGGAGGTGAAGGCGCTCCGTGAGTCTCCTCCCACCTTGGGGCAGCGCCTGTTGAGGGTCCGCTGAGAGTCGAAGTAGGTGATGGTGCGACGGGGGATGTCGACGCTGACCAGAGACCAGTGGACCTCCAGGTGGATGGGGATCAGCAGCAGATCTTTCTGGAAGATGTCCACCTGGGAAGAAAGGAGGGGGCATCCATCCAGAGGAAAAGGGACCAAGCAGCTCTATCCATTCTAGATCTACAAACAGAGACTGTTCACTTACATTCTTTGTCCACCGTTTAACTCCTTCATATCCTTTTGTCCTTAGCTTGTCATAAAAGAAGCTGTTGAAGAAGTGGACCTGAGGACAGCAGAGCGAAAAGTTACACCATTTCTTTCCTGATAGCGAAGCTTTAAACTTCATAGATATGAAGGAAAAGAATCTGCGCCACCTCAGGACCGAGTTTAACCATCATCATGGCTGCAGCAGCTAACAACCGTGTCAGGGGGATCGCTCATATGGAAAGTCATTTCATTCCAAAATTAAATGCATAAATTCAGCTTTTAAAGTCGTAGGGAAGCGGCTGTTCCAACCGTCGCATTTCCGAATTCTCCTGAGGAGTGGTGCACGAATTTACACCAGTCAATAAAGCGAATGTGATTGGTCGATTATCAAGGGGGCGGGATTGTTGTGGCGGGAGGTTCACGAGTTTTTGGTTGTGGCCGGTTTGTCGGAAGCATCTTGCTAACCAGTTAGCAACTTAGTGCTACTTGGTCCCAATGGGGACCAAGTAGCACTAAATTGGTGACTTGGGCTACGTTCACATCGCAGTCTGAAGTGACCCAAATCCGATCTTTTTGGCCATATGCTACCTGGATCTGATCTTTTCATGGCTGTCTGAACAACACAGATCCGATTTTTTCCAATGCGACCCAGGCCGCTTGGCTCTGTGGTCCTAAATCCGATACGAATCTGATCTTTTCAAATGCGACCTGTGTGTGAACAGCCAGATCGCATTCATCTGACCTGAACGAGATTAATACCCGACAAAGGTCACTATTCTGCGTGTTGCTACTTAGAAGCGGCAAGAAAAACCACAACCATGGCAGATGATGATGCAGAGAGTAGTATTTATGTTTAGTTGAAACATATTGAAAAGAATGAGTTTTTATGGTTGGAAAACACCGCTAGATGCGCTCCGGCGCTACCATTCATGTTTAATTCCGGGGAAAAAAAGAGCACGCTGGCCTGTGACCTCATTGTGTCCTCTACTGCACATGCGGGACACTTGCGTTGTGTTAGGTTTATTCAATGATGATTATAAAATGAATGTCCGTGTATGCTTATGAAACATTTGTGCGAGGGGATGCTCCACTGTGTCTTGTGATTCAGTCAGGAGACCATCCTGCCTTGTCATTCTGGTGGAGCATTCTGTCTTTATGAACTGATCAATTGTTCTGTCAGAACAAATACTGTTTTGTAACCATGTGTCATGTTCTGTTAATAAAAGACGGCTGCAGGAGAGGGTTCGGAGAAAGAAAGCTTGAAGTTGGGTTGGGCTTTTTCTTTCCGCTCCTGCAGAAGCTGCTTGAATCTCTTTCCTGTGTAGACTCAGTTTCTCTTTTACAAGCCTACATTTTTTTAACCTAACACGTATGTGATCTCCTGTGTAAACTGCAGTCATACAACAAGTCGCATATATTTGGAAATGTGAACGGCAAAGCAAAAAAAAAAAATCAGATTTCACAAAAAAAAATCGGAATTGAGCATTAAGGTGCGAACGCAGCCTTAGAAACGACAGTTTAGTGTCGGAGGTCGTGGATGAGTCTCATCCGTCATCCATTTTTTATTTAGAGGAGGAAAGCGGGGACGAAGATGTTGTGGAAGAGGACGCCAGGGCGGCAGAAGCTTGGTTTGGTGTAGAAGGCTTCCAGCCGTACATGTTTGAGCCCTTGCCTCGCAACGCTGCCAGTTCTGTTAGCTCTACGCCTGCCGAAGACACAGACGTCCATCCCCGTGAACACTGGGACGCAACTCAATGGGAAAGGAAAGGATTCTGATTTCAACCGCTGCGTATATTAGCTGCGACACATGAATCAAGATGCTATGACCGAAAACATTTGATTGACAGATGACCGTTGATATATGATTGGCTGAATTTAGGTGTTCAGGCTGACGTAGAACTAACTGGCCTGCAGAAGATAACGGAAAAACAGATTTTAAGACAGGAATTTTTTTTAAATAGAATTTTTCTAAATTTAGGGACAATATGGTCTGATAAAGAGAACATATATACACATTTATATACATGTTTAAGCCAGAATGATTTAACATTTAAATATAATTGCCCTATAACAGTAAAGGCATGAAAGAGGATTCTGTGGTGGGAGATATGTCTAACAGCTGTTTATTCTTTTATTGTTCACATGTGCCAAAGCTCCCTCCTTCACAAAAGTTCTCCACGCTGGAAACATCTCAGCCGGTAATTACGTATTTCACCTATAGAAGCAGCAAAGAGCCAGGATGCACCTAATCAGCAGGAAATCTCCATCAGAAGAAGAGGTCTCTGGGAGTGCATAATTAACTAAATCAATAAATCAGAATTTTTAAAATAAAGCTTTTACTTCCTACCTTTTTAGGCCATATAATAAATACGATCTAGATTGTTTATATCCCATTTGTCCCTAAGGGCCTACGGATTAAAAGTAATACAGAAAATTTGTGATAAAAAAATTCCATGATGAGAAAATCGCAAGTTAAAGTCTGTTTTTTACTATCAAAAAAATTCGATCCATATAGCTAATGCTAACCATCTTGCTAAGTACCCTAGATTACGCAAATATTTCCAGTGTAGGTACCAGATCTGCATGGGGCCCGCCCCTTCTTATGATGTCATATCACAACTCACAACCTGTATCGCACCCGTTTCCTAAGGATCAAATCTCTTCTGGAGTCTCAACATATTATTTCCTATATTTGCTGTTATTTTACATTTAATCTGTCATCTAAAGTAGCTAAAAGTAGAAAACAATCATCGTTAGTCTGGAAGGAAAGTCCTGCCTTCTAAGACAGACTGAGCTCTGCCATTTAACAAGGAGACACTAAAAGTCTCAGCTTATTTTTATTCTTTTATTAAGATCTGAGGGCAGAGGAGGACAGATGGAACATCTTAATTTTCGTAGAGATTTTAGACCAAGAAAACAGATATTCTATTTGTAGAAAATGAACGGTTGTTGCCTCAAATTTAAAAGTAGGGTAGCTTAATATGGCTAACTGACCGAGCTAGAAGAGGCTAATCTGTTAGCTACTGAGCAAAGCCAGCCATAGCGCTACACAGCTCTCCTCCTTTATATCATGGTCTAACACAGGAGTCTTTAACGTTTTCCAGGCCAAGGGCCCCACACTGATGGTGAGATGGAGCGGGGGCCCCCCCGAATTATATATATGGTATAGGCTTGTCCTGATCCGATCCACGTATCGGATCGGACGCCGATAATGGCAAAAAAAAAATGCGTATCGGCAAAGCATGTAAAAATGCTTGTATTTTGTATTTTCCAGTTTCGCCGCTTGAAACAATCCATTCCACTATTTTGCGCCAGTGTTCCCCGAATCTGGTCCGTATTTTCCAGAACACCTTCAAAACACCCACAGGTCTTTTTGGGTCTGTCTCCCGGCCTAACCATTAAAACAGGTGAATTGGAAGATAGCGGGGAAATGTCAGCCGTGTGGGATTATTTTATCCTGCACGACGTGTAGATGGAGACTAGGTGTGGAGGACATTGGGGAGTATAAGGCATTTTTGTGTAACTATTATTTGCACTGATTTTTTTAAGCAGTGTCTTTTTTCAAGAGTAGAGTCCTGATTCTAAGTTAATAGACTATTTTCCACTCTTGTCTGTTTTGCATTTTTATTAAAACTTACAGTAATACTTGCACCTTTAACTGTTTACGGTTTTACTGCTCACTGTGCAATATTAGATTGCTATTCATAATTTTGTCAAGTTTGTGTTTATCTCTTAATAAACAGGTAAGTTTGTTGTTACCAATCATTGTGTTTTATTCAATCTCACCTAATTCAGCTGGCTAGATGTTATCAAGAGTACTAAAACCCTTTTTAACTTGAGACTTACAACTAAGGCTAAATACTTTAACTTAAACTTAAATACATGCTCGGATAGGCTGGTATCAGCCAGTATCGGTATCGGATTGGAAGTCCAAAAACAATATCGGTATCGGATCGGAAGTGCAAAAACCTGGATCGGGACATCTCTAATATGGTATAAAATAGTGTTCTATCAAACTGGTCCTAGTCACTCTGTTACAGATGGAGTAATGTAACTAAAGTAATCCCTCCCTGGGATTATTAAAGTATTTCTGATTCCTGGTTGATGGGACAGGTGTTGTGAATGAAACGGTGCCCAGCTTAAAGAGCTCCTGTGTGTCTCTGAATGTGAGCATTGATGACTGAAAGACATCTTCTGCCTCCATTTATCTGTTTACTACAGTCTGTTGGATTCATGTTCATGTGGATTTAAAGACATTTCAATTGGTTGATTAGACTTTTTTTAATATTCCTCCCTGCAATTATTACCACTAAAACTCTGTTGACCCCCATGCAGTACCTCCATGGACCCCCCCGGGGTCGTGAACCCCCTGTTGAAGACCTGCAGTGAAACAGTTACTCTGTTCACCAGAAACGGATTTTATTCTGTTCAGGTAAAACTTCATCTGTCATTAGTCGCACTAAGATGCTCCCAGACAGAGGCCGCGTGATGTTATTGTCGTTGTCTGGGCAACCGCAATATTTTACATCATGTGGCAACGTTCAGCCAATCATGTAGCGTAACGTCACTGGCAGGAAGCAGATCTGGTAGCTGCAGCGGTTTATCAGGATTCTTTTCGGCCATTGATGCTCCAGTTTACACAAAAGAGTGAACAAATAGCTAAAAAAATAAAATCTGCAGCAGCAAACGAGCGTAGGAGTACTTACTCGTGCTTCGGCTTAGTGGAGAACCGCTAGCCAAACATGCGCCAAAGCGTATGAGCTAACGTAAATAATATAGTGGCATCATTGACAACAAACAAGTAGCCAATCCATTATCGACAGTAGCCAAGTGGATTGGCTACTGTTGGTAGGCACTAAGAGGTAAGTGCAAGAACGCCATCCATCAATTAACTCATTTTAGATAAACCTGGACATTTAATTTCTGAGAAAATCCTCTTTAATAAGTTAATGTCAATAAATAAATGTCCCTTTGCAGCAAAAGAAAGAATATATATAAAAAAATACAATCTGAGCCAATTTAATTTCAGATTTATTTATCTCAAGATTCTCTTATTTTCTTTTTTTTTTTATAACAGTTTTATTGAGACTTATTTGTTAAAGTTCCTTTACGTATATCTGGGACTAATAAAACACCCTAAAGTAAAAAAAAAAAATAAAAGTCCTTAAAATACATAAAAGAAAAATAAACAAAATATCAAAAATTAGGAAACAAATTCATGTTTAGAAATATAAATGATGTTTAGAGTAATAAATCTTTAAATGCAAAAAATTATCCTGAAGTAAATAAAATAAATGACAAACTAAAATGTATATTTTAAAAATATATTCAGTTTAACTTTATTAAGGACATTTATTTATCGGAAGGATGTTTTATTATTTAATCAAATCTGAAGAATTTTTTTCTTTTTTTTTTTCCATAGTTTCACTTTTCGTGTAGAAAATATTTAGCTGAATTGGAAACAAAACGGAGTCAAAATTCTTTTAAACACCACCTGTGAATTTAAAATGTTTTTATTGCCGTCATGCAGGCGGTAAAAGCAGATTAACGTTTTAACTTCTGCTAAACCTTCACTCTGATCTCCAAACATGAGCTGAAAACGCAGGCAGTCGAGTCGCTCCTGAACGCTCCTCTCAATAGGCGTAACACTTAGGAAGCTCTACTTTCCGTTTTGATGTGAACACACCGTAAGACGTCCCAGTAAATGGAAAACCGGAGCCTGAGCTCAGGCGACACGTGAAAGGAGAGAAGAGGAGGAAAGCTGCTCCATGGCTCCTACCTTGTCTGGAACGGAATCCATGACCAGATCTCCATACATGTTCATAATCTACACAGAAACACAGCAGGAAGAGAAAACAGGAGATTAACTCAGCAATCCTGAGTAATAAAAACACAAAGAAACAGATGAAAACTGAATAACAGACAAAAACTCTACAAAGAAAACTAATAGTTAATGGATAATTTAAACAAATGATCTATCTCTATAGTTCTGCTGCTATAGGCTTAGGCTGCTGGAGGACATAGGGACCCCTTTTTCATCATTCTGCTTCATTCTATCTCTATTCTCCCACTCTGCAGAATCTGTTAGTTCAATCTCTAACGTTCTGCTCTCTCTGCTTTTTCTCATAGTAGCTTCATCTGGTCTGTTCCTGTTTGGCTGTGACTCCATCCTGGAGAGAAATATCAGCTGTGCTGCTGCCATCAACACCTTTGTTTCTAGATGTTGGAGCTTGGCCTGTTTTCCAGTGTAGTCCTGTTTCTCTGACTGTGACTAACTGGATGTGCTCTCTTCATCCTCTGACATGGGAGCTGGCTCGGAGCTCGTCTGCCTGGCTGTGTGTTTCCTGGACGGGGCCGCCTGTGGAGCTGGTTGACAGTTGCCTTTTGTATCTATGCTTCTTTTTCTATGTCTGCTTCTGTCTCCTTGAACCCCAGTGGGCCTCAGCAGATGGCCGCTCACACTGAGCCTGGTTCTGCTGGAGGTTTCTTCCTGTTCAAAGGGAGTTTTTCCTCTCCACTGTCGCTACAAGCATGCTTAGTGTGAGGGATTGCTGAAGAGTCAATGAGTCGATGCAATCAGCTGGCTTTCCTTAGATAGAAAACTTTGAATCTGACTGGATGATCTGGTGAACTGGAAAGTGACCTGAGATGACATGATGTGAATTGGAGCTATAGAAATGAAGTTTTTTTTTAAGTTTGTTTTTCTTTTTTGTAAAGATGGAGATGAGCCGATTTCTGTCCTCCTCAACTCCTGTAATTATTCTGTTTCTTTTCTCCTCAGTCCCATGAAATTTCTGTAACTAAAATAGACCTGGGCTTTATCTCAGTCACTGCCAAATGGTGTCATCCCCACTGACTTTCAGTGAACGCCACAAACTCGTCCGACTTGATTTTCTGTGGGGTTGGATGCAAAAATCGGTTTGGGTGTGTTCAAGGCTTTAGTGTTATGTTACCACCATCCACCAGAGGGCACCACTGCTCATTACTAAGTGGAAACTCCTTGTTATTTGCAATAGAAGGAATCCCAGACCAGAGCCATGCTCGAGCAAAATCGGAATGGATTATTTCCCACCGTCTAATGGATAAACAGTACAACAGTAGTACAACAAGTGTGGTGAAGTTAAGCATGTAGCCGTTAGCCTGAAGTCAAACGTGTAGCCGTTAGCCTGAAGTCAAGCATGTGTAGCCGTTAGCCTGAAGTCAAGCATGTGTAGCCGTTAGCCTGAAGTCAAGCATGTGTAGCCGTTAGGCTGAAGTCAAGCATGTGTCGCCGTTAGCCTGAAGTCAAACGTGTAGCCGTTAGCCTGAAGTCAAGCATGTGTCGCCGTTAGCCTGAAGTCAAACGTGTAGCCGTTAGCCTGAAGTCAAGCATGTGTAGCCGTTAGCCTGAAGTCAAACGTGTAGCCGTTAGCCTGAAGTCAAGCATGTGTAGCCGTTAGCCTGAAGTCAAACGTGTAGCCGTTAGCCTGAAGTCAAACGTGTAGCCGTTAGCCTGAAGTCAAGCATGTGTAGCCGTTAGCCTAAAGTCAAGCATGTGTAGCCGTTAGCCTAAAGTCAAGCATGTGTAGCCGTTAGCCTAAAGTCAAGCATGTGTAGCCGTTAGCCTGAAGTCAAGCATGTGTAGCCGTTAGCCTGAAGTCAAGCATGTGTAGCCGTTAGCCTGAAGTCAAGCATGTGTAGCCGTTAGCCTGAAGTCAAGCATGTGTAGCCGTTAGCCTGAAGTCAAGCATGTGTAGCCGTTAGCCTGAAGTCAAGCATGTGTAGCCGTTAGCCTGAAGTCAAGCATGTGTAGCCGTTAGCCTGAAGTCAAGCATGTGTAGCAGTTAGGCTAAAGTCAAGCATGTGTAGCCGTTAGCCTGAAGTCAAGCATGTGTAGCCGTTAGCCTGAAGTCAAGCATGTGTAGCCGTTAGCCTGAAGTCAAGCATGTGTAGCCGTTAGCCTGAAGTCAAGCATGTGTAGCCGTTAGCCTGAAGTCAAGCATGTGTAGCCGTTAGCCTGAAGTCAAGCATGTGTAGCCGTTAGCCTGAAGTCAAGCATGTGTAGCCGTTAGCCTGAAGTCAAGCATGTGTAGCCGTTAGCCTGACGTCAAACATGTGTAGCCGTTAGCCTGAAGTCAAGCATGTGTAGCCGTTAGCCTGAAGTCAAGCATGTGTAGCCGTTAGCCTGAAGTCAAGCATGTGTAGCCGTTAGCCTGAAGTCAAGCATGTGTAGCCGTTAGCCTGACGTCAAACATGTGTAGCCGTTAGCCTGAAGTCAAGCATGTGTAGCCGTTAGCCTGAAGTCAAGCATGTGTAGCCGTTAGCCTGAAGTCAAACATGTGTAGCCGTTAGCCTGAAGTCAAACATGTGTAGCCGTTAGCCTAAAGTCAAGCATGTGTAGCCGTTAGCCTAAAGTCAAGCATGTGTAGCCGTTAGCCCAAAGTCAAGCATGTGTAGCCGTTAGCCTGTTAGCCTTAGCTAACAGCCTGTAACTCTAATGGAGTGTAAAACATGACATCAGTGCTGCGTTCTAAAGAACTTTCCAGCTGATCAATGGCTTAGACGGAAACATCAAAGTCAATCTAAAACTTTTTCTCCATGTATTTCTTGACTTGATGACTTTGCCCAACAGGAAGTTAGCTTCCAGCGGTGCGCGGTGGAGTCCTACCTGGTCATTGAGCCAGTTCTGCCCATACAACGTGCCCAGGTCATCCATGGTCAGAACATGGCGCTTGTAGTTGACCCTGAAGGTTTTGGCCACGGCTGATCCGGATGAACGCTGGAAGGACTGGATCTGGTGCTGGACCATTGCTTTCCTTCAGAAGAACCACAGGAAACAGAAAGTGGCGTTTAGACGACACGCTTGCCAAAGTTAGGACATCCTGTAAACGTTCTCCTGTTTTTTTCAAAGTCATTACAGGAAGTGAAACATCTAAACATGTCTGAGTTCAGCTTTAACTCCATCCAGACCAAGCAGAGGAACAGACTGGATGTAGAGATCAGCTGGTTTCCACTCTGAGTCATCAGAGCTCATCAAAGCAGCTCAGGTCTGGATGAAAACAAAGTTCAACTAATTAAATCAGTCTGACTATAATTTTTCTTCCCAATTCATCAAGTTTAAATGTTATAAGGGAATTACTCAGAGGAGCTCCATTTTTATAAAAACAGGTTTATAATGTGATTTTATTTTGTATTTATTTCGATTCCTTATTAACTTCTAGGCAACATATTTTTATTTTTTTTTTATTTACAAATACCTATGAATTAAAAGCGTCAAATTAGACGATCAAATAAAACATTTTTTGATTTATAATCAGTTATTGTACGTTTCACATCAATACTACTGACTGATAAGGGAACTCATGGTAAGACAAATGGAAACCCAGAACTGTGCAGAAGAAAAGCGTTCTTATTGAATCCGCCTTTTTTTGGACGCAGAATTTTAAACACCGAAAATTTTTTTACTCAATTATGGGGCCAAAATGGTAGCTTTAATATTTGCAAATGTGTGTGGAGAGTTGTGTGTCTGTACAACAATCTGCAAATGTGTAAAACTACTTGTGTGTAATCCGTTTTGCAAATGTGTAAAAAATCCACAAATCTGTATTCAGATCTGCAAATGTGTACTGAGATTTGCAAATGTGTAGATCAATCTGTAAGCACACACAGAGACACTTGCGTCTGAAGTATTTTCGCTTCAAGACCCAGAAATACAGACAAATCATTGGTTACAAGTCAAGCGGTTTTTCGGTTGGCTCTCTTTACACACGTGATTTTTGCTACTCTTCTGCCGCGTGAGATGCACAAATGTGTAGAAGGATTTGTATGTGTATTTTCGCGATTTGTAACCCCTTGCGCAGGCTCACAGGCTCACATGCTGCCCTGACCGCAGGCTCACAGGCTCACAGACAGCCTCTCTCTGCTGCGGCAGTTCAGCACAACTTGCTTCACATACAGCCACATACCACCGGTTGGCGGTATTGCACAGTACGTGACGTTACTGGGGTCCTAGGGGTTGTACCTGCTAAGTTGAGAGCAATGGAATCCCGTCAGCTTTCTGTAAGTATATTTCTTTAATTTTTTCTATAGTTTGCATTAGTAAAACTGTTTCTTCTTCTTCTGCTTCTGTTTTATGGCGGTTGGCAAGCAACTTTATGATGTGCATTACCACCATCTACTTCAGTGGAGTGTGGATCGGGATGCTATGTATTTTCCCACTGAAAAATAAAAATAAAAATAAATATTAACAATATTTACATAAATAAACTTATATCCTTTCTACCAATTTCGTTTTTTCAGGATTGTTTATCAAATTACAAAAATAATCATAGGTAGATTTTCCCCCCCCAAAATATCTTGTATATTTAACTGTAATTTATTTTCTTGTAACCCTTCTCTCCATAGAATATTTATAACAAAACAACAAAACATGCTCCACCGTCTCCCCTTGATAACAAAAACCACAACCTCCTGTTCCCATTCTAAATAAGTTTCCATTTAACCCCGTGTTTCCGAAACTTAATCTAGATATAACCTCTTTTTTATTCCTTTCCGTTCTCCTCATTTCACCAATTTTCCTTTGAATACTATAAAGCCAACTTCCAGTTCTATGCTCTTCCCACAGCTTCTGCCATCTTTCCGTAACCTTTTGTTTAATAATAGATTAAATTTTTTCCTTACTGAATGGTATCAATATATCATCCTTGTCACGTCAACTCCCGCAGCGGAGGGAAAAAAAAGGTAGAGGCTGTCTGTGAGCCTGCGAGCCTGCGGTCAGGGCAGCATGTGAGCCTGCGAGCCTGCGCAAGGGGTTACAAATCGCGAAAATACACATACAAATCCTTCTACACATTTGTGCATCTCACGCGGCAGAAGAGTAGCAAAAATCACGTGTGTAAAGAGAGCCAACCGAAAAACCGCTTGACTTGTAACCAATGATTTGTCTGTATTTCTGGGTCTTGAAGCGAAAATACTTCAGACGCAAGTGTCTCTGTGTGTGCTTACAGATTGATCTACACATTTGCAAGTCTCAGTACACATTTGCAGATCTGAATACAGATTTGTGGATTTTTTACACATTTGCAAAACGGATTACACACAAGTAGTTTTACACATTTGCAGATTGTTGTACAGACACACAAATCTCCTCACACATTTACAGATTTATTTACACATTTTCAAATCCCACTGCACACACACAAATCGAAATACAGACACACAACTCTCCACACACATTTGCAAATATTAAAGCTACCATTTTGGCCCCATACTCAATAAATTCCTTACATTATTTGGCAACAAATTCCCCTTCATAAAATGAGCTAATTTCATTGGCTGGAAGCTGCTCCACTGCATCCAGAGCAGATTGCTTTGGCTTGAGTTCAACAAAAGGTCAAAACTTTTGCAGACAAAGTTTTTTGCAAGGATATTTTTCTGCAGCTGAATTTTTAAATTGCAGGGGTACTTTTTTGTAGCAGAATTTTTTTTGTTTTTGAGTTTTTATAGCACTCGTGGCTTGTTTTTACGACAGTAGGCTGACAGGAAAGGAGGTATGAGAGAGAGGGAGAGACAGGCGGGAAAGGACCACCGGCTGGATTCGAATCTGGGTCGTTCACAGCAAAATTTTTTGCAGCTGAATTTTTACCAGATAAAAATGTGTAAGAAATTCGAGGTGTAAAATAAATTCAGTGATTAAAATTCAGTGTACAAAAAAAAAATGAGACTATTTTGCTTCCATAGAACTCAAACCTTTAAGTGACTTTGATGATTCTCTGAATTAATTGAAAAAATGTTTTCCAATTTCTCCTTTTTTTTTTTATTGTGTTTTCCTGATCATTCTCTTCTCTTCTAGCCCAAAGCTCCCACTGACCAATAGAAACGTTGCTAACGTCACGCAGACCGATAGAAATACGTCTTCACTCCAGAGGAAAGCGAGCCCCCAGAAGTGAAGAGAAAGTGATCTGGAAAACACGATTTGAAAATAACAGAAATCGTAAAATTCGAATAGACAGAGAAAATTTTGAAAAAAAAAAGGAAAGTTTACCCCTTAAAACTAATTTTGGATTTTCTCTTTTAAAAAAAAATTACATTTTTTTCAAAATGTGATTTCTGGATCGACTCTTTTGCAAATTGCCTTTTAGAAAACAAGTTTGCAACAATAATGCAACAAAAGTCCCTCCATAGATCCTATATTTCAGTCTTTCAGGTTAATCGGATCCTAGCTGTAAATGTTTTAGTAAATAACGGAATTCATAGAAGTTATTCGTTTATCGAGGTCAAACAGATTTAAATCATTGGTCCTTCATGGGCTGATGCTCTACGATCTAGAAAAGGTGTTTCTAGGTGAGCAGCATCTCTGACCTGTGCGGATGAGAGAAATTCTCGTGGAAGGCGTCTTGGAGCTTCGCCGCGATGTCATCAACGTGGATGGGAATCAAGCTGCCGTACTGCTGCAGAGACTCTTCCAGAAGGCCTGATGGGAGGAGCAAACGTTGGGTTTCTCTACTTCAATCCATGCAGGTCAAATACACACAGTCACGTATAGTTATATATGAAATCATGGCATCTCAGAGACTCTGTCATTCTTTTCATTCAAAAAATGCAAAAAAAATGGCTTGTAGAGAGCCAAATTTGTGGGCACTAAGGTTTTCTGTGTGTATTTAAATAATTTTATAATAAATTCTTAATAATTTTACATGAATTGTATTTCTTAACCATAATGTTTTTTTTATGTAATTGGTATTGTAATTTTATCTGGTGTTTATTTTTAAGGTTGCCTTTTTTATATCTGGCTGGGGGACTAGCGATGAAAATTAGCACTCCTTAGCTAACTCGGGTATATTTACATTGTTTTAATGTTGATTAATGTACACTGTCCCCTTTCAAATTAACAATAAATGAAAAAAAAATGAAATGTATAATTTAGTGACTGAAAAGGGCAATAAAGAAGTGAAACTGAATGAAACCTGATTCCTGCTTTCCTTATGAGTCTGTGCCGCCACAGAAGCTCATTAACTGAGAATAAATTAACCAACGCAGCTTTTTTTAAGGTGGATTATCCTGACATCAGTCCAGCCGATCCCCGATATCTGCTGCCAATATTTTTAGGCCTAGTCAGTGGGGGAGGGGTGGCCTAGTGGTTATTTAATTGGAAGAACTTAATTAGATATTTCAACACACCTAGAATCAATAGCAAACAGTCGAACACTCGCCAACCATGCTGGAGACTGTGCAGTGATATGGATTCAGATCACACACACATATTCTGGAAATGTACCAACATACAGCCCTTCTGGGAGAATGTTCACTCGGTTCTCTGCAATGTCTTGGGTTATGTGATTCCTAAATCTTGTCTTGTATTGTACCTCGGACATTTGGAGGGATCAGTACATGCAGGAGACCAATACCTGATTAAGATTCTCCTGGTGGCTGGGAAGAAGGCCATTACTAAAAACTGGCTTAAATCTGACCCCCCTAGCAACAAACAATGGATGTCAATTATAGATGACATATTGACAATGGAACAACTGACACACAAGTTAAAAGTGAAAGAAGCCCTTTTTGTAAAAAGATGGGGGAAATGGCTGAAATATAAGGAGATACTGGATGTTACATAACTATATACAGGCTCTGTTATGGTGTTATGCTTTGGTTTGTTTTTGTTCTGTGTTTTTTGTCGTTTTTTTATATTCCATATTGCCTTGGAATGTATTGTTTACTGAGTTAGCTAAAATAAATAAACAAACACTGGAAGAAAAAAAAATCTGTTTACTTTTTTTTTTCAGTGGCCCTAATCCTCTTCCGTAGAATAGGAACGTTTCAGCGGGTGCGTTTTTATTTTTATGTTCTGGTTGTGTCATCCTTTTCCTCTCAGTTATCACTCAACTTATCTGACATAAATTTCATTTCGAATTGACTCTTAGTTTATTAACAGTTTTTACTGAACTTATTTTAAAAATATGATTTAAAATCCCAGTCCACAAGCATCCTCATTCACATTTTCCCGTATATTTTACATTATTTATTGGCTGCATCTACAACTATTAAAGATATTTTCAATTTAAACAGATATTAAATAACAGAATATAACCTCCAATAACTTCAATGATATCATTGTTCTAGGTCATCAAATCAATTCAGTTTAGTCTGTCAATCAGCTGCCTGTAGTGTCTTTAAAAGTCCAGCAGGTGACAGTATTCTGTGAGACAGCATCAATACAGGTTGGCTTCAAGATGCCTCATTAAACCAGAACTAATGTTTATTATACACATCACATTTTTACAGCACTGGGGAACAAAGAAACTTTGTTTTTCCTCCTACAGACTATATTGAAAGAAAAAATTCATCTTTTTCCATTTTATTTGCTTTAAAAAAAGCTCCAGGGAGCCGTGGGATGCCGACACCCGTTCTCTCCTGTTCCAACCGTTTCCACTTTTCCATCATCCTCTCCCTCTGCTGCTCCTCCATCCAGGGTTTATACAGGAAGGAGGAACTCTAATGCTTTTTAATGCTTTTAGAAATAATATAAGTACCCATTAATTAATTAATTTATATATATATATTAGGGCTGCAACAACGAATCGATAAAATCGATAAAAATCGACTTTTAAAAGCGTTGGCAACGAATTTCATCATCGATTAGTTGTGTCGCGCGATTATTGCGTCATCCGCTGCGCCGTCATCACTGCCTCTTGACTGAAAGAGGAAGGAAAAAAAATACGGCAGAGCGAGTCAGCGCCGCAGGAGCAGTGTTGCCAACTCCGCGACTTTTCAGACCCCTCCAGCGACTATTTTTCAAAAAAGCGACTAGCGACAAATCTGGCGACTTTTTTCGGTGTCACTGGCGGCTTTTGGAGACTCTTACGTGAAAGCATGTATCATTCCTACTCTGCCGTGGGGCGCCTCCCCCACCCCAACCGCGTTTTCCCGCAGGAGTCCCTCTCAGTCAGAGCCTCAGCGTCCAGACTGCAAATGAAGCGCGCATGCACCGGGATTGACGGCGCAAATTGATCACAATAATTAAAATAGCCTGCGCTTTGTAAAGTGAAAAAAGTGATAACATGCAACTTTTTTCAAAAGAAATGAACATGGCACGGAACCACCATGTTTGTTTGGTTTTAAAGTGGGGAAACGTTACGTTAGTTTCTCAGTTCGCTCATCTGATGCTTTCCTTACCGTGTTAGTAGGTTACAGACAGTGATAAGGTTGGCTACTTATTTTACTTTTAATTTCATTTGAACTAGCTTAAGCAGCGTTTACATTTACTTTATAAATAAATTAACTTGCAAATTATGAGGGCAAGACTTTTAAAGTTTAAATCTGGCAAAGATAAAGTAAAGATGATCCTGCAATTTATAGAAGTAAAGCAGAATAAAATCCAGCAAGATCAGTAATATGTCAATTAATTATCTGCCACATTCCCATGTAAATATCTGTCTTTGGAGGATGTGTTTTTTAGCACCCCTAGTTCTCTCATTTTTATTCCAAATACAATTTATAATTTGAATCACAGGGCTATTTTTATCTCTATGGTTCAGTATTTTCTCAAGTAGCAACTTTAACTGCTATACTTTCCTGTCCTAAAAGGCAGAACTCTTCTAGTCTAAAAAAACTCATTTGTTGAAATGGGGGGACCTATTGTTTGAACCCCTTAGAGGCTTTTAAAAACAAAAATGTCTTTTTTTGCGCTTTATGAAACAAAGTACCCTATATTTTGTGGATGTACATCTACATTTCTCATGTCAGTTTGCGTAGTTTTAACACAAACATTTATTTTTCATATTGCACCAGGACAGTTAATGAGCAACCTGTACTTGTGTGCTTGTTTGTTCTGTCTATAATGTTTATTTTGGAATAAAGAGGTTAATATAAAAAATATTTTTTGTCCGATTCATCGATTAATCGAAAAAATAATCGTCCGATTCATCGATTTTTAAAATAATCGTTAGTTGCAGCCCTAATATATATATATATATAAAATTAAACTGTTTTCTCACCCCTGGGGGGTGGTATGTGTCATCCTCGGGTCCTCTACCAGAGACCTGGGAGTTTGAGGGTTCTGCGCAGTATCTTAGCTGTTCCTAGGACTGCGCTCTTCTGGACAGAGACCTCTGATGTTTTACCTGGAATCTGCTGTAGCCACTCTCCCAGTTTGGGGGTCACAGCCCCCAGTGCTCCAATTACCACTGGCACCACTGCTGCTCTTACTTTCCACATCTTTTCTAGCTCCTCCTTCAGTCCTTGGTATTTCTCAAGCTTCTCGTGTTCTTTCTTCTTGATGTTGCTGTCGCTTGGGATTGCCACATCTATCACTACTGCCTTCTTCTGCTGTTTGTCCATCAACACGATGTCTGGTTGGTTAGCCATCACCTGTTTGTCAGTCTGGATCTTGAAGTCCCATAGGATCTTAGCTCGGTCATTCTCAACTACCTTAGGAGGTGTCTTCCATTTTGACCTTGGGACTTCCAGCCCATACTCATGGCAGATGTTCCTGTACACTATGACAGCTACCTGGTTGTGGCGTTCCATGTATGCACTTCCTGCCTGCATTTTACACCCCGCTGTTATGTGCTGTATTGTTTCAGAGGCATCTTTGCACAGTCTGCATCGGGGGTCCTGTCTGGTGTGGTAGACCCCGGCCTCTATTGATCTTGTACTGAGTGCCTGTTCTTGTGCTGACATGATTAGTGCCTCCCGACTGTCCTTCAGTCCAGCCTTTTCCAGCCACTGGTAGGATTTTTTGATATCAGCCACTTCTTCTATTTGTCTGTGGTATACGTCATGCAGCGGCTTGTCCCTCCATGATGGTTCTCCTTCCTCTTTCTTGTCCTCACTTTCGGTTTTCTCCTGCCTGAGGTACTCACCGAGCCATTTGTCTTTGGGGGCCATCTTTCTGATGAAACCCTCCATGCATTATGAGGAGCTTTCTCGTCTTGATGTCATTAGCCTCTATCTCCTCTTTTGGCCAGTTTATTATATATACATACACTCACCGGCCACTTTATTAGGTACCCCATGCTAGTAACGGGTTGGACCCCCTTTTGCCTTCAGAACTGCCTCAATTCTTGGTGGCATAGATTCAACAAGGTGCTGGAAGCATTCCTCAGGGAGTTTGGTCCATATTGACATGATGGCATCATACAGTTGCCGCAGATTTGTCGGCTGCACATCCATGATGCGAATCTCCCGTTCCACCACATCCCAAAGATGCTCTATTGGATTGAGATCTGGTGACTGTGGAGGCCATTTGAGTACAGTGAACTCATTGTCATGTTCAAGAAACCAGTCTGAGATGATTCCAGCTTTATGACATGGCGCATTATCCTGCTGAAAGTAGCCATCAGAAGTTGGGTACATTGTGGTCATAAAGGGATGGACATGGTCAGCAACAATACTCAGGTAGGCTGTGGCGTTGCAACGATGCTCAATTGGTACCAAGGGGCCCAAAGAGTGCCAAGAAAATATTCCCCACATCATGACACCACCACCGCCAGCCTGAACCGTTGATACAAGGCAGGATGGATCCATGCTTTCATGTTGTAGACGCCAAATTCTGACCCTACCATCCGAATGTCGCAGCAGAAATCGAGACTCATCAGACCAGGCAACGTTTTTCCAATCTTCTATTGTCCAATTTCGATGAGCTTGTGCAAATTGTAGCCTCAGTTTCCTGTTCTTAGCTGAAAGGAGTGGCACCCGGTGTGGTCTTCTGCTGCTGTAGCCCATCTGCCTCAAAGTCCGACGTACTGTGCGTTCAGAGATGCTCTTCTGCCCACCTTGGTTATAACGGGTGGTTATTTGAGTCACTGTTGCCCTTCTATCAGCTCCAACCAGTCTGGCCATTCTCCTCTGACCTCTGGCATCAACAAGGCATTTCCGCCCACAGAACTGCCGCTCACTGGATGTTTTTTCTTTTTCGGACCATTCTCTGTAAACCCTAGAGATGGTTGTGCGTGAAAATCCCAGTAGATCAGCAGTTTCTGAAATACTCAGACCAGCCCTTCTGGCACCAACAATCATGCCACGTTCAAAGTCACTCAAATCACCTTTCTTCCCCATACTGATGCTCGCTTTGAACTGCAGGAGAATGTCTTGACCATGTCTACATGCCTAAATGCACTGAGTTGCCACCATGTGATTGGCTGCTTAGAAATTAAGTGTTAACGAGCTGTTGGACAGGTGTACCTAATAAAGTGGCTGGTGAGTGTACATATATACACACACACACACATATATATATATATATATATATTTATATTAAAACACGGCCAAATCCTTCGTAATCTTTACCATCGACAGGCTGCAGCCGTGTCCCAAATTTCTCGTTTTCCAGCCACTTATGTTAAAATGAGCATTTTCCCGTTCTCTAGCCTTTTCTGAGCCTTGAGCTTCTGTTCCGAACCTACGGCTTTAGGATCAACCAGGAGCAGTTCCACGCAAACACATGGAACCAGTTAAATCCGATATATTTGACAGTTTTTTTTTTTTTTATAAAGCATTTTAAATGTCATAATAATCACATTTAATTAATTTTAATGCCAATTAAGGCCTTAATTAAAAAAAAAATTCTATTTTAATTATTTTTAATGATCCGCAGAAACCCTGTCCATCAGCGCCGCTAAATGGGTCCATTTAGGAGAAATGAAGGAGTTTATTTTTACTAACAGAACCGCAGGAAGTTCATTCTGGATCCTTGGATCCATTAAACAGAAGAAACAATCCAGACCAGACTCTGGATCCATTCATGGTTCTGCTCCAGCATCACTCTATCTCTTGAAAATAAGCGTATCTGCTCTAGGATGAACTGTGGTGCCCTCTAGTGGACGGTGATAACATTCCTTTCAAGTAAACATTATCAATCATATGGTTGAAATGTTCCTCCCAAAGATTTTTTTCTCATTAAGTCGTTTTCGAAAGTTTAATTTCTTGATAACAATTTAAAAAAATGTGCATTTACAAATGTTTTTTTTTTTTTATCAATAATGGAAAAGAATTGACTCCATACAGAGGCAGCTTTAGATAGACGAGGGAAAAGGAACGAACAGTAAATCGTGTTGAAGGATGAATCCCAATTGTTCAGAAAGTTTTTTTAGCAAACTTACATATAGTATAGAAACAGACTAAATAGATCTGTTCCTATGGATTGATTTTGATCTAGATTTTGCTCACTATCGGGGGTCATAGCCAACATGAATGAATCGGTGCCTCTGTAATCCAGCAGCTGATGCTGGATTAAAGCAGAATAAAATAAAGTGATCTGTACCCGTTATGTATTTGGTGTGTTCTTCGCTAAGAGCAGCTTCTGCTGGTCGGACCGCCAAGTCACGTCTCATTTTCTCCTCATGCTTGTCCGAAGAAGGTCCGTTTAAACGCATTCCTGTCAAACCACATGAAATAAACAGCTTCGTTAATGGAAACCTGGAGGCTTCATTACGCCAGAAAACATTTAAAATACAGTCAATGCCCCTTCAAATCTATTTTTTCTGTTGGTTTAAGGAGATAAGTTGAACAATTTGGAATGAAAACTATGATTTACATTAAAAGTTAGAACTAAAAAAAGCTAAATCTCTAATTATCTTATTTTAAGGACTTAAAAATGATCATTCCACTGGCAGATTAGAGCATTTAGCTGAAGTCAGATAAGTGTTTGCAGGGTTTAGGCATAAAAAGAGAAAGGGCGGCAGAAGCTTGGTTTGGTGTAGAAGGCTTCCAGCCGTACATGTTTGAGCCCTTGCCTCGCAACGCTGCCAGTTCTGTTAGCTCTACGCCTGCCGAAGACACAGACGTCCATCCCCGTGAACACTGGGACGCAACTCAATGGGAAAGGAAAGGATTCTGGTTTCAACCGTTGCGTATATTAGCTGCGACATATGAATCAAGATGCTATGACCGAAAACATTTGATTGACAGATGACCGTTGATATATGATTGGCCGAATTTAGGTGTTCAGGCTGACGTAGAACTAACTGGCCTGCAGAAGATAACGGAAAAAAACCCCACAGATTTAAGACAGGATTTGTTTTCATATAGAAATTTTCGGACAATATGGTCTGATAAGGAGAACATTTATATACATGTTTAAGCCAGAATGGTTTGACATTTAAAGATTAAACCAAAGGAGATTATCATCCTCACCGTCAGTCACTGAGGTTGGATTATTCCCTGATCCAAAGTATAAAACTTTGTTTTTTTTAATAAGAAATAATCTGTTTTTCTTTGGGGTTTTTTCTCCAGTGATTCTACGGATTCTGCTACATGAAAAGGATTTATTTCCAGTAGGGCTGCAACAACGAATCGATAAAATCGATAAAAATCGACTTTTAAAAGCGTTGGCAACGAATTTCATCATCGATTAGTTGTGTCGCGCGATTATTGCGTCATCCGCTGCGCCGTCATCACTGCCTCTTGACTGAAAGAGGAAGGAAAAAAAATACGGCAGAGCGAGTCAGCGCCGCAGGAGCAGTGTTGCCAACTCCGCGACTTTTCAGACCCCTCCAGCGACTATTTTTCAAAAAAGCGACTAGCGACAAATCTGGCGACTTTTTTCGGTGTCACTGGCGGCTTTTGGAGACTCTTACGTGAAAGCATGTATCATTCCTACTCTGCCGTGGGGCGCCTCCCCCACCCCAACCGCGTTTTCCCGCAGGAGTCCCTCTCAGTCAGAGCCTCAGCGTCCAGACTGCAAATGAAGCGCGCATGCACCGGGATTGACGGCGCAAATTGATCACAATAATTAAAATAGCCTGCGCTTTGTAAAGTGAAAAAAGTGATAACATGCAACTTTTTTCAAAAGAAATGAACATGGCACGGAACCACCATGTTTGTTTGGTTTTAAAGTGGGGAAACGTTACGTTAGTTTCTCAGTTCGCTCATCTGATGCTTTCCTTACCGTGTTAGTAGGTTACAGACAGTGATAAGGTTGGCTACTTATTTTACTTTAAATTTCATTTGAACTAGCTTAAGCAGCGTTTACATTTACTTTATAAATAAATTAACTTGCAAATTATGAGGGCAAGGCTTTTAAAGTTTAAATCTGGCAAAGATAAAGTAAAGATGATCCTGCAATTTATAGAACTAAAGCAGAATAAAATCCAGCAAGATCAGTAATATGTCAATTAATTATCTGCCACATTCCCATGTAAATATCTGTCTTTGGAGGATGTGTTTTTTAGCACCCCTAGTTCTCTCATTTTTATTCCAAATACAATTTATAATTTGAATCACAGGGCTATTTTTATCTCTATGGTTAAGTATTTTCTCAAGTAGCAACTTTAACTGCTATACTTTCCTGTCTTAAAAGGCAGAACTCTTCTAGTCTAAAAAAACTCATTTGTTGAAATGGGGGGGCCTATTGTTTGAACCCCTTAGGGGCTTTAAAAACAAAAATGTCTTTTTTTGCGCTTTATGAAACAAAGTACCCTATATTTTGTGGATGTACAGCTACATTTCTCATGTAAGTTTGCGTAGTTTTAACACAAACATTTATTTTTCATATTGCACCAGGACAGTTAATGAGCAACCTGTACTTGTGTGCTTGTTTGTTCTGTCTAAAATGTTTATTTTGGAATAAAGAGGTTAATATAAAAAATATTTTTTGTCCGATTCATCGATTAATCGAAAAAATAATCGTCCGATTCATCGATTTTTAAAATAATCGTTAGTTGCAGCCCTAATTTCCAGATTCAGGTTGGAGGATTTCCTGCTGGTTTATGAAGAGAAATATGGTCCAATATTATTGGAAGCAAAGAATGTCTCAAAAAAAAAATTCCTTTACAAAAGAAGAAAACATTCTAGTTTGTCCCATTTCCTTTAATATTTTTTTTATTTCTATGTTTTCAAAATTTGTTCAATTTAATCATTTTTTCAAAAGTTAGTTCTTTGGATTTTTTTTGTCCAAAATTATTTTTTTTGTTTTCTTTTTTAAACTTTCTTATGGGAGACTCGGTTATATGAACAGCCTTCCTTTAAATCCTATTTTATAGATTTCCTGCTCTACGCCTCTGGGTGGTCTGAACGGACCAATGGGAATTAATCTGCTCTGTGTGGCGCTTAGCAACCGCATTTCTATTGGACGGGAAAAAATCGATCTCTTTTCCTCCAAAAATGACAACAAATCAAATCTGAGAGAAGAATATAAAAAAATGAATGAAAAATACAACAGAAAAATTTTTAAATATTGTAAAATAATAAAAATAAAAAGCTGGTTAAACTTTGAATAAATAAACTATAAAGTTTTTCTAAACAAACTTAATTCAAACTTGTTCTTTGTTTCCAACAATATTGGACCAAATTTCCCTCCATACAGTCCGGGAGCCGCCCCGTTCACCAGGCGAGGCGGGTCAGGGAAAAACACGCTACCTGTTAGCTCCTCCTCCGCATCGCCGCACAGCCGTAGAAATCTTTTTGTCCTCCTTTGCCTGCCGTAGAAACTGGGCTTCTGGCCTTTCCGACCCCCATGCTGCCCCGCGGCGGTGCTCCATCGAACGCTCTGCCGCCAGTTCTTCCACTGGCGAGCGGGCTGGGATCCAGGAAGTCCGCGGGATACGAGCGCCAAGCTCCGGAGCCTCTTCAGGACCCGGTACCTCCTCAACTGGGACCGGTAGAGGCCCCTGGCTCCAGCCTGGAACGCAGCGCTCTCTGCGCTCGGAGCACCAGGTTCCTCCTGCTGCTGATGCTGCGGTCGCTGGTCTTGGTGCTGCGGCCGGCCGTACAGGTTGGACTGGCAGGGGAAATCCGGCACCTCCCACTCCTCGCTCTCGCCCACCTCGTCGCCATCTTCCTCTTCGCCGTTGTTCTCCCAGGCTTTGCCCTGGAGATCCTCTCCGTCGTCTTCGTACAGGTTTTTCCCCTCCTCCTCGTCGCCGATGGCTTCGATGGCCCCCGGCCCGTCGTCTTCTACGTACTCGCCGGCCCACAGCTTGTCTTTCTGGCCGAGCCTGAGGTGCACGGAGCTGGACACGCTGTGGCCCGACGCCGGGACGATCAGGTGGTTTTCAGGAATCCCCCCTGAACCAAAGAACAGAGTCACACGCTCAGAAAACAAACTTTATCTCAGCGGCAGTTCTCAAAGATAAAAACTGAGCTCAAACTTTGAATAAAATGTTTTAAAGCCAACATTCTCTTCCTTCTCCTCCAGTCTCCTGCCGAGCCCAAACTCAGGGGGTGGAGCCTTCTAACGGCCACGGCCGAGTCCTTCACACCCAATGAAGGCTGGAAGTGACCTGCTGTGAAGCGGGAAAAGTCCTGCTCTGGTAACTTGGGTTGCCTAGCAACCGTCACAGCAGGAGGCTCAGAAGTCAAAGTCTGATTTCCTTTATTTCATCATCATTTATTCTGATATGTCTATTATCTATCAGATGGAAACAGAAATCGATACATCAGTGATCTAATTGTCTCAGTGACATAAACACCATATGTCAAAGGTGAAGGAAAAATGGACGATTATTTTGCTAATTGATTAATGAGTCGATTAATTGATTAATAATCAGATAGCCAAAGGTTCCTTTAAGATTAGGAGGAGAAACAAAAACTTTTCCACTTGAGGAGTTGTGGATTATAGCGAATGTTGACAGATGAAAATGAAAAAGAAGCAGAAACCAAACAAAGGAACTAAACACACCGTTGTGCTCGTCACTTTAAATGTTTGCTTCCGATTTATCTTCCGTCTAGAAATGAAGCTGAAGCGACGGCGGCGCCGCAGAGAGCCTTACCTCCTCCGGTGCTGTCCTGCCCCACAGCGGTCAGCCCAAGGTCCCCCTGCCAGCGGTTCTGGGCAAGGCTACCGCCATTGTCTCGCATGGTCCACGGACAACCCACGACCTGCGCCAGCTCGTCACCTGCAGACGGCAAACAAAGGCGGCATCAGCGATTAGCAGAAACACAATAGAAACGCTTCCAGGGAAATAAAAAAAAAATAATATAGTAAAAACAATCCACTAGACTTTGTTTCCAAGTTTGAAGACGTTTCTCTTCCCGCCCCAATTGAAACAGACAAACGGCTCCGCCCTAAATTGAAAAGGATGAAGGGCTCCGCCCCAAATTGGAACAGATCTGAATAAAGATCAAGATTCTGATGAGAATACGGGAAAATGAACAAACTAGTCTGTAGTTTTACACTCAGCTCATTCATAAAATAATGTCCAATTAATTATTTTTGGATTGAAGAAAAGACTTTTCTGCTGCCCTCATTGGAGGAAAATGGTCCCAATCCTACGGCGAATAGAACGACTAACGACGGCCGGTAAAATCATAAGGCAAAATCAAAAAACTTAAAATCATTGTTAAGTACATATGAATAAATAAGCCTGTGGCATAACTATAAAATAGGGGTGCACCGGTTGCAGTTTTCTGGCCGATTTCCGATCACCGATCTTTAAAAAGCCTGACCTGCTGATTCCGATTTTTGGTTAATACCGATTTTAGTATTTTTTTTGCTATAATAAACACTGTGTTACAAGATCGCAATTCACTTTCAATGTTATAATCTTTTCTTGAAAAACATGCCCTTGAACATTAGCCTTGAACCATTATAAAGTTGTTTTAACTGAGGTAGAGCCTTGACAGAGAAATGAATTAAATAATAAATATTAATTAAATAAAACAAACTTAAGACTACAACATTGGTCTTTTGATTTTTTACATTTCAAATAACAAAACTTCAACAAAAGATCAGAAAAAATATGGAATAGCAACTGATTTTAAGACACTCGCCGAGGTAAATAGATTGGTGGTTAAGATCGGTTTCATATGTAAATATCGGCCGATCACCAATCACCCTAAATTAAGGAAATCGGGGCCGATCGATCGGCCGGCCGATTTATCGGTGCACCCCTACTATAAAAAGGTTAACAGTTGTAACTTATGCATAAAATTTATGTGTCCAACACCTTCAGGTGTTTTTATAACAATAATAATAAACTTTAAACCATCAAACCTCCTATTGATTAATTATACAAGGTTAACAGTCGTGACTTGTGCTAAAAATAAACTTTTTTAATCCTTTTTTAAAACTCTGGGTAGTCTGTGGTTCCCTCAGATGATCAGCGATGATCCAAAATATGTTTGCTGTCACAGTTTACATCATTAAATCTAACAAATAATAATAATAATAATGGATCCCAGGGAGCAAAAAGTAAACAAATTCCCTTTACACACGCTTTTATCTTCATTGCATGAGCATAAAATTAATGTTTCCAAAGCTTTTAGGCGTCTTTATAATAATTATAATAATCTTTTAACCATCAAACCTCCTATTGATTAATTATAAAAGGTAAGTTCTGCTAAAAATAAACTTTTGTAATCCTTTTTAAAACTCTGGGTAGTCTGTGGTTTCCTCAGATGATCAGCGATGATCCAAAATATGTTTGCTGTCACAGTTTACATCATTAAATCTAACAAATAATAATAATAATAATAATAATAATAATGGATCCCAGGGAGCAAAAAGTAAACAAATTACCTTTACACACACTTTTATCTTCATTTAAAGAGCATAAAATGAATGTTTGCTAAAAATAAACTTTTGTAATCCTTTTTTAAAACTCTGGATAGTCTGTGGTTCCCTCAGACTATCAGCGATGATCCAAAATATGTTTGTTTTTTGTTACAGTTAACATTATTAAATCTAACAAAAAAACAACAACTAAGAATTGATCTCAGGTAACAAAAAGTAAACAATCAGACGTCAAACTCCCTTTATAAACACTTTTATCTTCATTTAAATATCTTAAAATGAATGTTTCCAATGCTTCCAGGTGCTTTTATAACAATAATAATAAACTTAACTCTATCAAACCCATTAATTAATTGTAAAAGGTTAATCTCAGCGGAATAGCTGCATTATTATTAGCTGTTAAAGGTTTGAATGTGTTGGTAAGTCATTGGTAACGGGGGTAAACATTAATTACCATGAGGGGATCTCTAAGCATGGGGGGGGGGCCTACCTGCTCGGTGTTAGCATCTGAATAAAGGAGTACCGGAAGCCAGGTGTAACCCAGGTGTAAACCCACGAGGATGACCCGGAGAAGCCGTTAAACAGCCGCTGGAATGAAGCGCTAAACACCAACAGCTCATTCAGCTTCCCTGCCGAGCGGAGCAGCGCTAGCAAGGCTAGCTCCAAACGCGAGCTAAACTCCCCAAACCCGATCCGAAAAAAAAACACTTTTAATACAAAATAATCAACAAAACAAAGTCATTGACTTCATCAGTGGAGCACAACCAGCACGAACCCCAATGCCAGCGATCCTTTGATCATTATTTAGATCTCCGCGCGAACGTGTTAGCCGTTAGCATGGTTATCTGAAGCTAGCTTAGCATGCCCAGTGAAGTGCCTTATAAAGCCGCAGGCTGCGAGCCTGGAGTGGCTGGATGCAGCCATGTTGTTCTTACCGCTCAGTCTCAGACGCTCTAGCTGAATATTGGACGAATTTCTTTAGAATATTTTAACGAGCAAACACAAACTTTAGCTGCTCTTTAGCCTCATTCAATTAAACCAGTATGGAACAGCCACAATTCGGCTCCTTCTTCGGGTTTCTTCCTCGCGCTTCTTCTCAAATACTGTAACTGCGGATAATGGCGCCATCTAGCGGCAGGATAGATTGTGCTGTTGGATAAAAATGTGAATGAACGTCTGAATGGAGATATCCATCCCTGAATTCCTTGTTAAATGTTCTGTCTCTTCTTTTATGTTTATTGTTGTGAACAAAGATGCCTAATAAAAAAATAAAAGCTGCTCGATTCTATGACTATTATCCAATTTGATCCAATCCAACTTTATTTATATAGCACTTAAAAGAAAAACGATGTATGGAGCTCCAGAACTGACACGGGAGAAAAAAGCAAAATAGTGTGTGTAATTCCTTACCACAAAATATTAATTTGTAGCCACGAAAAACTAATTTGTTCTCTAAAACATACGATTTGATTCCACAAAATACTAATTTGTTCGCACAAAATATTCATTTGTTCCCAAGAAATACTCATTTTTGGCCACAAAATATAAGATTTGCACAAAATAATAAAACATAATCATCCTACTCACAGCTTTACATCTTCTCAAAGGAACAAATGTTTTTCACTAATGAGAATTTCCTGAAACATCAAACTTCTCACATTGTCCATCTATCTCTGTCTATCTCTGTCCATCACATTCTGTAAATACACCAATATTTTAGATAATTATTCATTCAGTTATTTCTCAATATTAGAAATAATACCGATACTTTAGTAACTACATTTTAATGTAAATTTGATGGGCAATTCTGCCCTAGAAATCGGACACAGGATAAAAATAACAGTTGGTTTTACTTCAAAAAGGGAAAAATAATTGACTTCTTCTGTTTTAGGGAGGAAATCATGTATAATTGAAAGTTTTTTCATAATTTTTGGAGTAATTATTCATGCAGATCCGCACAGATCCAGCTGGTGTTTATGGAGTCGGTCGGTTGTTCTTCTGTTCTTACAGCTACTTTCCAGTAGGTGGCAGCAGAGACCGCCCAGATGTTCCCCTCTAAATTTTAGAGGCTTCTTTTGTTCAATTCTATCATATTTAAAAACAACAACAATGTAATGTATTTATTGTCTCTATTTACCCTTACATCTGGAGGAAAATTTGGTGACCTATTTATTCACCTTTGATGTTTTATTTTCAGTTTGTCCGGTTCTTTGTGAATAATGTGGAAAGAGAAAAATGAATAATTTATATCCTGAGTGGGTGTGTGGGAATGTGTGGGAATGTGGGTGTGTGTTTCTGTCAGACCAAAAGGAAACAAAGATTTTAGGAATACGGAGTTATACTTTTTTTAGCACAGTCACTGTTATATGTGTGAATTTAATTGATTTATTTTCCTACATGCATCTTTTTAGTAAATAAAATGATCAGCAAGTTCTCAGGAAAGCAGCTTTTCATCACAGGCTGACATTAGTGTTTCATCTAAGCTGTTCAAACAGATCTCGCAGCTTTTTGTCTCGTTTGTTTTAAATCTGAAACTTCAAATAACAAATCAAATACATTAAAAGTAAGTATTAAATAATCAATATGAGCAGTGAAGGGAGTGGGACCAACAACTGGAGTTATACAGAGATTTTATTAATTAGGAGAATAAAATAAAAACAAAACAAGACATATGCCATGAAACTAGGAAATAATGTTACAATAATGTGAGAATAAAGTTGACACAATATAAAGTTAGAAAAAAAAATAGCTTTAATAGGATGAAAGCTTAGAGTTATTAAACCGAGATCATCCAATCAGCGTCCAGAGTGAAACTTTTGATCTCAGAGTGAAGACTAAGCTTTCTTCTTAGGGATTAAAGTATATTACTTCTTTGAGTTTATAACATAAGGCATTATTCTGGTTATAATACAACTTTATTCTTGTATTGTTACCATTTTATTCTGGTAATGTTACAGCTTTAATCTAGATAAATTAGGATTCTACTCTCATAAGGTTATATATTTATTCTGACACCCATTATGACATCATTCTGTAATATCATAATGTTATGACATCACAGAATTAATGTTATCACACTATTTTATCTTTGTTCACGTAATGTTTTTGGGAATGTTACAACTTTATTCTTGGAATGTTACGGCTTTATTATGGTAATGTTAACACTTAACTCTAAGAATTTTATGACTTTATTCTAGGAATGTTGCGTCTTTATTATTTTGTGTTGATAAAACTTTATTCTGGCAATGGTTCCATTTTATTCCAGTATCGTCACAAATTCATATTGGTAATGTTACAAATTTATTATGGGAACGTTAAAATACTGCATTGGTGCAAATTTATTTTCAGAATGTTAGAACTTTATTCTACAAATGTTAAGACTCTATTTTAGTAATGTTACAACTTTATCCCAGGAATGTTAAAACTTTATTTTGTGTTGGTACAACTTCATTCTGGAAATGTACGATTCTAGGAATGTTACGATTTTATTCTGGGATTGTTACAACTTTATATTGGTAATTTTCCAACTTTAGTACGGGAATGTTACCATATTGTATTCTTAAAAATTTATTCTGGGAATGTTATGACTTTATTCTAAAAAATATGTTAAGACTTTATTTTAGGAGTGTTACAACTTTATTATGGGAATGTTACCATATTGTATTGGTACAAATTTATTCTCAGAATGTTAGAACTTTATTCTGGAAATGTTTCAATTTTATTCTAGTATCGTCACAACTTCATATTGGTAAGGTTACAAATTTATTATGGGAACGTTACAATATTGTATTGGTGCAAATTCATTCTCAGAATGTTAGAACTTTATTCTAGAAATGTTAAGACTCTATTTTAGTAATGTTACAACTTTATTCCAGGAATGTTAAAACTTTATTTTGTGTTGGTACAACTTTATTCTGGAAATGTACGATTCTAGGAATGTTACGATTTTATTCTGGGATTGTTACAACTTTTTTCTGGGAGTGTTACAACTTTATATTAGTAATTTTACAACTTTAGAACGGGAATGTTACAATATTGTATTGTTAAAAATTTATTCTGGAAATGTTATGACTTTATTCTAAAAAAATGTTAAGACTTTATTTTAGGAGTGTTACAACTTTATTATGGGAATGTTACCATATTGTATTGTTACCATTTTATTCTGGTAATGTTACAGCTTTAATCTAGATAAATTAGGATTCTACTCTCATAAGGTTATATATTTATTCTGACACCCATTATGACATCATTCTGTAATATCATAATGTTATGACATCACAGAATTAATGTTATCACACTATTTTATCTTTGTTCATGTAACGTTTTTGGGAATGTTACAACTTTATTCTTGGAATGTTACGGCTTTATTATGGTAATGTTAACACTTAACTCTAAGAATTTTATGACTTTATTCTAGGAATGTTGCGTCTTTATTATTTTGTGTTGATAAAACTTTATTCTGGCAATGGTTCCATTTTATTCCAGTATCGTCACAACTTCATATTGGTAATGTTACAAATTTATTATGGGAACGTTAAAATACTGCATTGGTGCAAATTTATTTTCAGAATGTTAGAACTTTATTCTACAAATGTTAAGACTCTATTTTAGTAATGTTACAACTTTATCCCAGGAATGTTAAAACTTTATTTTGTGTTGGTACAACTTCATTCTGGAAATGTACGATTCTAGGAATGTTACGATTTTATTCTGGGATTGTTACAACTTTATTATGGGAATGTTACAACTTTATTCTACAAATGTTAAGACTCTATTTTAGTAATTTTACAACTTTATTATGGGAATGTTAAGACTTTATTCCAGCAATGTTAAAAACTTTATTTTGTGTTGGTACAACTTCATTCTGGAAATGTACGATTCTAGGAACGTTACGATTTTATTCTGGGATTGTTACAACTTTATTATGGGAATGTTACAACTTTATTCTACAAATGTTAAGACTCTATTTTAGTAATTTTACAACTTTATTATGGGAATGTTAAGACTTTATTCCAGCAATGTTGGTACAACTTCATTCTGGAAATGTATGATTCTAGGAACATTACGATTTTATTCTGGGATTGTTACAACTTTATTATGGGAATGTTACGACTTGATTCTAGGAATATTATTACTTTTTTCTGGGAGTGTTACAACTTTAGTATAAGAATGTTACAATATTGTATTGGGACAAATTTATTCTGGGAATGTTACGACTTATTCTAATGTTATGACTTTAACCAATATGGTCAACATTTTATAACCCTAAGCCTAATGATGACATTATTTTCACAATGTTATTGTCTAAAATCTATTATTTTGATCTCATAGAGAAAATATTATGACCTTTTCAAAAATAAAAAATATATATAAATTACTTCTGGTCTTAATAATCAGTTGTAGGGACGAGGAACTGTTTTTAAAACATATTTCAGTATATTTTTAATCACTCACAGGGATGACAGGAGATTGTCATTCATTCCGGTGCTTTGCGGATGCTGAAGGGAATCATAACCCCGTTTAAACGGCATCTTTAGGGGCGTTGAAATGTCAAAACCTGGGGCTCCTTCTCAAAGGGGGGGATTTACCATCAGGCAATACTAGGCAGCTGCCTAGGGCCCCAGGTTCCTGGGGGCCCCATGAAACTCTGTTTCTATGTATGGTTAATAAAACTATTCCTTATTTGTGCACATTAATGATGTTTTTGATAAAAATCCTTTGGCTAAAATACCATCAGAACGCTGATAATATTAAGTTTGTCTCAGCCCCCCCCTTCAGTGTCCACCATATTGGATCAGTCCATTTGCTGCACATGTTCAGAAAGGTCCAAACAGACAGCAGCAAACCATTTGAAAACAAACCATGCAAAGAGCAGTGTTGCCAACTTAGCGCTTTAGTCGCTATATTTAGCCACTTTTCAGACCCCTCTAGCACTTTGATTTCTAAAAAGCTCCTAGCGCCAAATCTAGAGACTTTTTTCTGCTACTGGAGACTTTGGAGACAACATCTAAAAGCAGCGAACTCTGCTCTCCAGAGCCAGTAGATTGGTAACCCCGCCTCCTGCTCTCCTCTATCTTGTCTGCTGTCATGATTCATGCAGCTAT